CTCTCTCCCTCTCTCTCTCCCTCTCCCCCCATCCCCCTTCCACTCTCTCTAAAAATCAATGGAAAAAATATCCTGGGGTGAGGATTTAAAAAATTAATTAAATAAATAAAATATAAAGCTATTTTGAATAACCTCTTTTGTAGACTGTAGTCCATGTGAATTCTACAGCTAGCTAGTTGAATACCAGGATTTCAAGTTAGTGGGAAATTACTTTTAATAATAGCTTTATACATATATGTATATTTGATCAAATCTGAAAATATTCCATATCTATAACATACTGGTTGATTCAGAAAAATGTTTATCTTAAAGTTTAAAATGTTACTATTTTCCTGTGTCTTTGGTAGAGTCACTGGATAGTAAGATTATGTGATTATTTATTTATTTATTTATTTATTTATTTTGCAATTTACAAAATAAGCATGGTACTGTAAATTAAGACCAATCTGATATGGTCTATTCTGATGAAATTTATAGTCTAATAGAAAAGGTGATTGGACTTATAAGAGAGAAACAAATGAAGTGCTATAGAAATTCCAAGGAAGAAGAGATTACTTTCACCTGAGCATATTAGGTAGGACTCAAGATACACTAACAAAAAAAATAAAAGTCACGTGAAAAAAAAATTCAAATAATAATTTCCTAAATGACTCAGAGTTTTATTCTTTATTTAGCACCTCCTCACCCTCCATAAAAGAAATCTAGATATTTAGACAGTCCAGGACTTGTTCAACAACTCCACTGTGCCATCAGAAACCCAGCTCCTACCTTTTCACTCCTTTTTCTTCAAGCACTCAGATGACTCCTGGAGCACTATCCATTACATCCACATTCTAGACAGGAGGAAGGACAAAGGGCAACTGGTTTCTCCCCCTTTAAGGAGCTTTCCCAGAAGCTCCACCCAATGACTGACTTAAATTTCACTGGCCAGAACAGTGTCACAGGGCTACCTCTATTTCCAAGGAAGGCTAAAAAATGTTTTTTCTAATATATTCATTCCCAACTACATCAGAGTTTCATTAGTAATGGAGAAGGAAAGAAAAGATATTGTGGTAGATAAATAGCAGTCTTAGGCACGTGAGGAAAATAGTAGACTTCACAAAGGAGCTATTGGCTGAAGCTAGGTCTCCAGTGATGGTGAGTTCTGGCTTTCACTTGTTTACTGATTATTTTGAACTGGACAGTAAATTAACCACTTCAACATAATTATCGAATTTAATCCTCATGTTGTCTCATGAGTTAGGTCCTATTATTTTGATTATATAGATGTGGAAATTGAGGCATAGATAGGTAGAGTAGATTACTCAGGGTCCCATAGATACTAAGTCTAGATTAGGTTAGGTTAACCCTGAAATCCATGTTTTTCCCTTGTTTAATACTGCATGGAGAGAGTTCTGAGAAGAGCATGCCAGTCAGCAAAGCAAGAAAAGACAGAAGTAGAAACTTTTGGTATATGTATTAAAAACAGTGAATCTTCTGGCTGGGTCACAAAATATGAATGAGAAAAAGAAAGTAGAATTGATGCAATATCATTGTGGGCTTTAAATTCATCTGTTCACTTATTTATTCAGCCAATATTTGAATTCCTACTACATGTCAGGCACTTTATTAAAGATACCAGGATGAAAGACACCATCCTATCCTTAAGGATATCAGTTTAACATTACTGTAAATGCTATAATAGACTATATGCGAAATGTTGGCACTACCCTTCACCGGGGAGGAGCAGCAAAGACTTTCCACTGGAGGTAAATTCTGAATGGAGTTTTCAAGGAGGATTAGGAATTATCCAGGCAAAAGTTGAGGCAGGGAGTTTGCAAAGGAGGAACATTACCAAAGGGACAATAAAGGAACTACTAGTGATCCTTGGGGTTTGACTTTAGAAATAAGGCCAGAGGGGTAGGTGAGTTCAGATCATGAACTTTGGGCTAGGGGCTTTTAGACTTTTAGCGTTGGCAGAGCAACAGCAGCCAGGGTAGTAGTTTAGGCAAGATATAATGAATATTATTTGGATTATGATAGTAACAAAACAAGAGAAGAGGATAAATGTAGGAGGTATTTAAAATGAGACTAAATTGGATCAAGTAATGGAGAGGAATGAGTTGCCAGTGGCCTTGGGTAACACTGGAGGAGGAGCTGATTTAAAAGACTATTTCGAGTTGAGTTGAAACCATATTAAGTTTGAGGTACAAAGTAGTGGTATTCAGAATAGCCTGGAAGAGGAGATGAGTGAGTCATCTACACACATCAGATGATATTGGAAGCCATTAAATTGGCAAGGAACAGGGAATAAAGAAGGGCCAGGACCAAGCAGTGGGAAAATGAGGCACATAATGGGGAAGAAACATCAGAGTAGTCAGAGAGGACTGGCTATGACTGAATGGCAGTGAAGTAAAGGAACAGTAGCAAGCATTAAAGATCCGCCCTTTTAAAAATAGATGAGGCAGCTTTAATGTGTTAGAGGACCAAAGGTGATTTTCCATTAATGCTAAATAATGACCTCCAGTTCACGCTTATCATGTATCATTGAAATAGTCCTTAATTGTTTGTTTTTCCATATTAAACTGATAGCCTCAAATTTTGTACCTTGCAATTTTTTTTCTAAAACTTCATATATGTTGTTCAGGTGTTAAATATAACACTTTTATTTCTTTTTTTACGCATATTCTAATGAGTATGATAAACATTACAGATAATAATTAGTGGGCCTATACCATAGAATAAGTGATCAAATTTCTGTCTGCATTTGTATATATCTTATCTGCAGTCATACTCTTAAGTAATATCAAAGCTGTATTTTACTGAATCAAGCCATAGATATGTTTATACTTAAACAATGAATTCACTAAAATGCACCATGAAATTAAGTTTATGTGTATATACAGATATAGTTTATTTCTGTGTCAAATATATACTAATAGACCCATATTTTGCACAAAAGACCAGTCAGTTCAAAATTGAGTGGCATAATTTTGCTAAGTGTCACCTGACATCATATAACAGAATATATTTGGATATATCTGCACTTCTAATTTTTAGTGACATTCTATAATTCTTTATTTAACTATTTAAAATACTTTAGATTCCAAAATAATAAAAAGTTGTTATGATGCATTTCACAGCAAATTTGTGTATTTGTTCAATCTGTTCATAAATATGTTCTCAATATGCTCTGCTAAGTGCCATGATACATAAACAATACATATATTATAATAGGTATTTCACATTTGTAATAATAATAATGCAGAATATCTTTGATTTGTCAAAAACTTTTCTTAGCGTGATATTTTCCAAAGTATTAGTTGGATGACCTCACAAAGTTTTTAAAATTGTAAAATAGGCATTAGATACATTTAGGAAGATCTTATCAATGTAATTTGTTTTAAGTCAACTTCAGCCTCCTTCTGTAAGCAAAACAGAACAGACTGATATGTCATTGAATTTAACCTTAATTTTAAGCAACTCTTTTTTAATTGAATTTTTTAAATACAGGGTATATTCAGTTCTCGAGGAGAAAAGATCCTTATGGCAGATGCTGATGGAGCCACAAAGTTTCCAGATGTTGAGAAATTAGAAAAGGGACTTAATGATCTACAGCCTTGGCCTGTGAGTATAAGAATATAGTTTAAATGATATTCAATCTAGAATAAAGGGGATCTAAAATAAAATGAATATGAAGCTTACCTGTAATTTTAAAAACTAGGGGGTATGAAAACTTGGGGGGGAAAAACTTTGGACGTATGAAATTCTCTACGGTCCTACAGAAGAGCTATTCGTTTTATTAAACATTCACTGGTTTTCTGAGGTTCACTTGACAATTATTTAATATTCTGGCCATCTCTCAATCTTTAATTGTTTAACATTTATCATGCATACATATTAAAAGCATAGACTGAGACTTCCAGGTAAAGATGTGAAATAAAACTGGATCACAGAATCTTGTTTGTAATAAAACATACACGAGTAGCAACCAATCAAAAAGATTATATGCCAGAAAAAGGATCCAAGATGGCTGCAGAGTAGGTGGAAGCTATACTCATCTCCTCCCAGGACCAAATTGGAATTACACCTAAATTATGGAACAGTCATCATGGATGACCAACTGAAGACTAGCTGAAGAGAAGCCTTGTTGCAAAGATTTTACAGAGGAAACCACATTGAGACTGTTCCAAACAAGTTATAAGATGCTGCTGAGGCCAGTCACAAGCAGTGTCTGACATTGTCCTGTACCAGAGTCCATTCCAAGAGGTCCAGAACCAACACACCCACTGGTCAGGTTCAGACAAAAACAGAGCAGGATCCAATAAGCTTCACAAGAAGTATATCTAAAGGGAGATCTCGGCAGGCACCAAACCCTGGTTAGGGGAATTCTGCTTCTTGTGGTCAAGACCTGCACAGCATCTCTCACATGCCATGGTCAGGGTTGAAGCTCACAGTCAGCTAGGCTGAGGGTCAATCCCACACATGAATGGGCCAACAGCAATCAAGACTCAGTTATAAGAGGAGGGCCCACATAACCCGCACAAGGGACATTGCTGAGCACCCAGCTTAGGTGATCAAGGAGACTGGATCACTGGACTGCACTGGATACCTACTAGATAAAGCCACCCCACAAACACTAGGGGTCATAGCAGATCTACCTAATACATAGAAACAAACACGAAAAGGCAGCCAAAATGGGGACACAAACATGTCCCAAATGAAAGAACAGGAGAAATCTCCAGAAAAAGAGCTAAATGAAATGGAGGCAGGCAATTTATCAGATATAGAGTTCAAAGTAATTGTTATAAGGATGCTCAACAGCATGAAGAAGGACATAGAAACCATAAAAAGGACCAGTCAGAAATGACAAATAAACTGGAGGAATAAACAATCAAGTTGGATGAAGCAGGGGATCAAACCAGCAAGTTGAGGACAAGGTAGAAAAGAATATCCAATCGTAGAAGCAAAAAGAAAAAAGAATTTTAAAAAATGAGAATAGTTTAAGGAACTTTTGGGACAACATGAAGCATAACTACATCTACATCATAGGGATACAAGAAGAAGAGACGGAGCAAAGGATCAAAACCTATTGGAAGAAATAATGACTGAAAACTTCCCTAACCAGGTGAACTAAAAAGACATGCAAGTCCAGGAGGCACAGAAAGTGCTAAACAAGATGGACCCAAAGAGGTCAACACCAAGACACATCATAATAAAAATGGTGAAGGTTAAAGACAAAGAATTTTAAAAGCTGTGAGAGAAAAACAGTTGGTTACCTACAAAGGAGCTCCCATTAGACTGTCAGCTGATTTCTCAACAGAAACATTTCAAGCCAGAAGGGATTGGCTTGAAATATTCAAAGTGATGGAAAGTGAGGACCTACAACCAAGACAACTCTACCAAACAAGGCTATCATTAAAATTGAAGGACAGCCCACCTGGGCATGACTTAGCGGTTGAGCATCTTCCTAGGATCCAGGAGATTGCGGTTCAATTCTCGGTCAGGGCACATGCCCAGGTTGCAGGCTCAATTCCCAGTCAGGGGCATGCAGGAGGTAGCCGATCAATGACTCTCTCATTGATGTTTCTCTCTCTCCCTCTCCCTTTCCCTCTCTGAAATCAATAAAGATATATTTTAAATAAAAAAAATTGAAGGACATATCAAGAGGTTCCGAGACAAGAAAAAACTAAATGAGTTTTTTACCACCAAACCAGTATTACAAGAAGTGTTAAAGGGCCTGCTTTAGGAAGAAGAAGAAAAAGAGGAACATGGTTAAAAGAATAAAATGGCAATAAATATGTACTATCAGTAATCAATTTAAATGTAAATTGCGTACATGTTCCAGTCAAAAGACATAGGGTAGCAGAATGGGTAAGAAAACAACCCATATATATGGCTCTCTGCAGGACACATCTCAGAATGAAAGATACAGACTAAAAATGAAGGGATGGAAAAAGAGATTTCATTCAAATGGTAAAAAAGAAAACAGCAATATTTATATCTGGTAAAGTAGACTTTAAAACAAAGACTATAAAAGACAAAGGAGGATACTACATAATGATAAAAGGAGCAATGCAAAAGAGGATATAACCCTTGTGAACAACATTTATGCACACAGCATAGGAGCACCTAAGTATGTATAGCAAATCTTTATGGACAGAAAGGGAGAGATTGATGATAATACAATCACAGTAAGGGATTTTTACACCCCATTGAAATCAATGGATCTTCCAGATAGAAAATCAACAAGGAAACTGTGGCCTTAAATGACACACTAGACCACGTGGATTTAATTGATATCTTCAGAGCATTTCACCCCAAAGCAGCAGTATTTACATTCTTTTCGAGTGCACATGGAACATTTTTCTAGGGTAGACCACATTACAACACAAAACAAGTCTTAAATTTAAGAAGGTTGAAATCATATCAAGCATCATCTCTGACCATAATGGTATGAAACTAGAAATCAATTACAAGAAAAAAATTGAAAAACAGGAGGCTAAGTGACATGTTATCAAACAATGAATGGGTTAGAAATGAGATCAAGGAAGAAATCAAAACATACCTTGAAACTAATGAAAATGATGAGAACATAAACCAAAATCTGTGGGACACAGCTAAAACAGTCTAAGAGGGAAATTCTTAGCATCACAGTCCTATCAAAATAAACAATCTAACTTTACATTTATAGGAACTTGAAAAATGAAAAAACAAGCCCAGAGTAAGTAGAAGGAAGGAAAAAATGATCAAGATAGAAGTAAACAAAATAGTCTAAAAAAATACAAAAGATCAAGAGCTGGTTCTTTGAAAGGTAAACAAGATTGACAAACCTTTAACTAGACTCAAGAAAAAGAAAAGGGGCACAAGTAAATCAGAAATTAAAGTGGAGAAGTGACAATTCACAACAAAGAAATACAAAGAATTGGTAGAAAATATTACAAACAACTGTATGCCTATAAATTGGACACTAGATGAAAACTAAATTCTTATGAACATACAACCTTCCAAAACTCAATTAGAAAGAATTAGAGAGGGTGAATAGACAGATTACAACCAATAAAATTGAAGCAGTAGTCAAAAAACTTCCATCAAACAAAATTCCTGAATTGGGTGGCTTCACAGGTGAATTTTACCAAAAATTCATGGAAGAACTAACACTAACTTTCTCAGACTATTCCCAAAAATTCAAGAGGGAAGGCTCCAAAGCACATTTTACAAGACCAGCATTATCCTAATTTCAAAACCAGATAAAGACACTACAAAGAAAGAAAATTATAGGCCAATATTCCTGATTAACATAGATCAGAGCAGAGGAATGCCTAGCGCCAGGGCCATTTATGGCCTGCGAAATCATTTGGTCTGGCCCTGCCAAAGCCTCACCAGAGAAGCATTTCCAGCCATCACATTAGGGGTGAGTTAATTAAATGTTTGACCAAATATAGCAGGCTAATTTTTAAGTTGATAATATTTTATGGCCCACGAATGATGTTATAAATATCCAAATGGCCCTTGGCATAAAAAAGGCCCCCACCCAGACATAGATGCTAAAATCTTCAACAAAATATTATCAAACTATCAAGCAATACTTCAAAAAGATCATATACCATGATCAAGTAGGATTTATCCAGGGAATACAAGGTTATTACAATATCAAAAATCAATAAACTTAATACACCACATAAACAAAATGAAGGGTAAAGACCACATGATCATATTAATAGATGCAGAAAAAGCATTTGATAAAATCCAGCACCCATTTATGATAAAAACTCTGAGCAAAGTGGGAATAGAGGGAACATACCTCAACATAATTAAGGCCATATATGACAAACACACAGCCAACATCACACTCAATGGGAAAAAACTACAAGCACTTCCCTTAAGATGAGCAGTAAGACAGGGATGTTCACTTTCACCACTCTTATTGAACATAGTACTGGAAGTCCTAATGACACATTCAGACAAGAAGAAATAAAAGGCATCCAAATTGGAAAGGAAGAAGTAAAACTTATTATTTGCAGATGAGATGATGCTGTATGTAAAGAACCATGAAGGCTCCACCAAATAACTACTAGAACTGATAAATGAATTCAGTAAAGTAACAGGATACGAAATAAATATCCAGAAATCATTACATTTTTATACAGGGATAATGAACTATCAGAAAGCGAAACTTAAGAAAATCTCATTCACAATTGCTCAAAAAGAATAAAATGCATAGGAATAAATTTAACCAAACGTAAAATACCTATACTCGGAAAATTATAAGTCACTGAAGAAAGAAATTGAAGAAGACAAATAAGTGGAAGCATATTCCATGTTCATGGATAGTAAGAATTAACATCATTAAAATGTCCATACTACCCAAAGCAATCTTTAGATTCAATGGAATTACTAACAATATACCAATGACCTATTCCATAGAACTAGAACAAGTATTCCCAAAATTTATGTGGAACTACAAAACACTCCTAATAGTCACAGCAATCTTAATAAAGAAGAACAAAGTTGAAGGAACCGCTCTACCTAATATCAAACTATACTACGAAGCCATAGTAATCAAAACAACATGGTACTGGAATAAAAAACAGACATATAGATCAATGGAACAGATTAGGAGCCCT